GGGGCCTGGTAACTACGCGCCCGAGCGGCCGGTGATACTGGTGAAAGGGGCCGGGGAAACGGGCCTCACATTTCACAGAGGCCCCCGCAGCCAGGGCGAGGGGCAACGGGCATCAAGCTGGCACCCGGGAGGTGCCCTCTGAAAAAAGTTCTTCCCTGGGAGGGTGGCCGAGCCTGGAGCAGCTGCCCAGAGAGGCTGGGGGGGTGTGCTGCTCTGACCTGGAAGCCATCCTGGGCAACCTGCTCTAGACGACCCGGACTAGATGTTCTCCAGAGGTCCCTTCCAACCCCACCGTTCTGGGATTAATGTCAGTGAGAAAGGCAACACCAGCTGAAATCAGTTTGCTTGACGTGTGCCTTGGGCCTTCCCTCCACCTCTCCAACACTAAAGGGAGGGGAAGGCCCCTTCTAAAGCAGGGTGAAGCTCGCTGGAGACGTGGGACCCAGGGCACAGCAGGTGTTCAGCAACACCAGGATGGATCCACGCTCCTTCTACACCCATTTAAAGTGGGTTTCCTGAGAAAAAAGCAGCTGCTATGCTGCACCCAGCCTGCAGAGCTCCAGCTCTCCACGCCCCCATCTCACCCAGCTGCAGAGAACTTGGCTAAAGGCAGTGGAGCCACCAGCCCCCTCCCTCCTCCTCCTCCTCCTCACAGCAGCAAAGCCCAGCCCGACCAGCCCTGCTGCTGCTGCTGGGGAGGTGAGAGCTGGGGAGGAAGAGGAGGGAATGCTGAGCGTGCAATGGTGGAGGAACCAGTGGGGAAAGCTGGAGCTGGACGTGCTGATGAAAGCCTGTCACAGGTCTGGCCAGGATGGAACAAGCACACTTGGTACACCTGCCAACTAATTCATCCCAGCCTGGTTTGGGTGGGAAGGGACCTTTCGAGGCCATCTAGTCCAACCCCCTGCAGGGAGCAGGCTTCAAGTTAAAGTATTTCCCTCCTGGAGAACAAATTTTGTGTCGGACTTGGGCAAACCCTCCCTCAAATTTCCTGGCTGACTGAAGTCTTGGTTTAAATCAAACCCCCAAAGCTCTCAGCTCCTGGTGCACCCCAGCTGAGGGTTGTCCCCTCCCAGAGCTGCTGGCTGTCCACCCCTCGTGCCCATTCCAGTGGCTGTAGCCGGGCCGAGATGGGGCCAGCAGGCTACACAGACAGCCTGGGGAGAAACCCACCCGAGTTGGGCTGGGCTTGGAAGAGGGAAGGCCAAAATGGATGGAAGAGGGAATGAAGATGGTCCCCAGGCTGTGGATCCCCTGCACCAAGGGAGCGGGGCAACGAACGGCCTCGAGTCTCCACTGGCCTTTCAGCTCTCACCAGTATTACCCAGCCACATCTACCAACAGGCTGCCTGGCATACAGAGAGAGGAGGAAGCTAAGTAAAAAGTGATGCTTGCCAGCTCTGTGTATCCTCCACCACCGGTGTGCTAGAAGAAATCCTTACCCTCGAGTGAACATTGGGAAATTTAGTGATATTATTCTTCTTTAGGGCTAAACAGAAAAAAAACAAAAAAACAAAAAAACACAAAAACAAAGAAACAAAAAACACAAAATGATGGTTAAGTTAAAAAAAAAAAAAAATATGGGATGGTAAAATGAAGAGCAAAGTCAACTTCAGCATTCCAAACAACTCCCAGGCACGTCAGCCCACAGAGCGAGGGGGGGGGGTGAGGCTGCCAAGAGCAGGTTAGAACCCGGAGAGGGAGAGGACAGGACAGGAGGAGGACCACCCTTGCCTCTGGCCGACCAAATTCCAAGCTGCTTTGAAGGTTGGCTCCAGGGAGAGAAGACAGTGGTTACCAACTCCACAGGGCACGTAACCGTTGAGCTGCTTACAGGCGCTGCTTTTATTAGAAGCATCCAACAGAACCCACGCCGAGGTGTGGGGGGGACGACACCCATTGTCTCCTTAAGGGCCCCGGCCCTTAATCCAAGACAACGGTGCAGGAGGCATGCAGGGTTA